TTTCATTTTCATTTGATTCTAGGAATTTTCTTATTTTCCCCCCTTATTTCTTTGATGACCCACTGATCACTTAAAAATGTATTATTCAGTGTTCATGTGTTTGTATATTTTTTGTAGTTTCTCTTGTTATTGGTTTCTGGTTTTATGTCATTGTGTTCTGATAGAATACAGAACATTATTTCAATTTTTTAATTTTCATTGAGACTCACTTTATTTCCTAAAATATGATTTATTTCAGAGAAAGTTCTGTGGGCTGCTGAGAAGAATGTGTATCCTGTGACTGTTGGATGGAATATTTTATAGGTGCCTGTTTTATGTGTATCCTGTGACTGTTGGATGGAATATTTTACAGATCTATACTGTCATTTAATTCTGAAGTTTTTGTCTGAATCACCTATTTGGGAGTGTGAGGTATTGAAGTCACCCACTATTAATTGTTTTGAGTTCTATCTGTGCTTTTATGTTCAGTAATGTTTGTTTTATGAAGAAACACTATACTGATGTTTGTTGCATAAATGTTTTTAATTGCTATATATTCTTTATGGATTTTTGCTTTATCAATATGAAGTGACCTTTTCTATCTCTTTTAACCAATTTTGGTTTGAAGTCTGTTTTGTCAGATATGAGTATAGATTGAAGTTGTCTCAATGTTGAGTAGGACTGCATATTGGCAGGGTTGATATGCGGTGTCTCACCACTGGAGTGGGAGTATGGCTCAGTAGCCAAACATTCGCCCATATGCTCAAGGCACCAGGCCCAAACCCCAGCACCACTCAGAGAGAAAAAAACTATCTGGCATCTCTTGTCATTTTTAATGGATAGGTTGTTGCTATATGTTGGTCAAGGGTAAGTTATCTGCTTTAGGGATGCTTTCACTTGTTTATATACTGGGAGCAACTGCTTGCTGCAAGTAGTTTTGCAGTCCATGGGCTGGGCAGGTTCTCATTTGCTCCATAGTCCCCCACCCTATGCAGTTTGTGTTCCTAGGGGCAGCAAGTATCCAAGCCTAGAGGTGTCCCCCAAATGCATTGGAGAGTGGAGGTAGCAAACAGAGAACTGAGTTCTGGACTGAAGGAAGAGGACTGAAGGTCTTAGGCACTAACCTGCTGATTTCACCAGCCCAGCACTTAACCACCCCATGGGAGGGAGGAGGCTGGGGATAACACATGATTTGCAGGACATGGGCTTAGAGTTCTTAATCCTGCCCAGTAACAACCATCACACAGCTGGGAGGCAGAGGCTAGCACTCCATCAGCCATGGGCTCAGGGTTCTATTTCCACAGCCATCTTCAGGAGACAGAGCTCTCTCCTCATAGAGCAGGTAGGGCCATTGACCATTGCCCTTGTCACTGCTTAAAACTTCTCAGTGCATCCATGTCAAACCTTACCCCTCTCTACAACCCTTCTAATGGCCATCTCCCACCCAGACAGTGTAGCAGGATGTCCCCAGGATCCCTGGGGTATGATTGTTCCTTGTTTTCATGTTCCTAAAGTGGCCCCCTCTCAAGATGGCACCAGGCTACAGCACTCTTGAGATATGAGGAATGATAAAATGTCTTTGCTCCAATGCTAGCCTGCTATGCAGGAGTAGTGACTGCCACACCAGGTCCCCACAACAGGTTTAAGGCTTACAGGAAATATGGGTTTATTCTGAGTTTAGCTCTACCAGTCTGGGCCACCTGGCTCACCTTTGTGGTTGTGTCTTCAATTCTCCCCAGCTCTAGGACCTGGAGTTGGAACTGCAGAGTATTGCCTACTTTTCTCTGATGTCTTCTTGTTTCTCTGTGCTTTTCAGCTGTCCTGACCCTCTTTTGTGATTCCTGATGCTCTTTCTCTCTCCAGACTGTGGTCACTATTTTATTACCCTGACTCTTCTCATTTAGAGAATCAAATGGGGTGGGTAGGGTGGGGGAGGGGCTGGGAGTGTGGCTCAAGTGGCAAGTGGCAAAACACCTGCCCGGTAAACACAAGGCCCTGAATTCAAACCCCAATACTACAAAAAAAAAAAAAAGAGACAGTCAAATAGGGGAAGTTTCTAATTTGCAATCTTACCAAAAGATGCTTCTTGACATGATTTTTTGAATATGTGTGTCATGCAAATATATATGTAAATAATGATAATTCATGCCTAATGGTGAAAATGAGAAGCACTCCCATTAAAATGGTATTGATGTGACTCCTATCATTATTATTTAACATTTTCTCTGGAAGGATTAACTAATGCAATAGGACAAGAAAAAGAGGAAATAAAAGTATGTGTATTTGAAAGGGGGTGTGGTCTGCTGGAGACTTATAAGAGGTTTGACAAGGACAAACTTAGATAGCTAGGGGAAGAGGGAATAAACTTGACCTTTCTGGCTCAGTGAGCAGAGTTAAGATTTGTAAAGTCAGAAAATGTAATGCCCCAGATTCCTGTTGAAGCTGAGGTTGACCTTCTAATGGGTGCTAAAATGGAAAGGGGGTTCCTATGGGGTGTTTGACTGACAGCATTCTTTGCCTTTGCTGAAAATGGTTCTTCAGACTATTCTTACCTATTGGAGTGAAGCAGGGGAGGACTTGATTATTGAGCCAGCAAACTGGGCAGGGAGAAGCAAAGAAGTGGGGCATACCTACATGTGTCCATAAGCCAAGAGTCCCCAAGGATGGTTCTCTTATCTTCAAATTGAAATCTGTTTTAATCAACATTACCCAAGGTATAGTCAGGGTACTCTTGTTGTATAACAGATGAACTTAGATGACATGGAGGAACATTTTAAATTTCATTATACCTATATTTATTTTCATGTATATGAGATACTTTTATAAATAATACATGAAACCAGAATGCAGCCAGGCACTGGTGATTCATGCCTGTAATCCTAGCTAGTTGGGAGGCTGAGATCAGTAGGATTGTGGTTCAAGGCCAGCCTGGGCAAAAAGGTACCAAGACTCCATCTCAGCCAACAGCTGGGTGTGATGGCATGTGCTTGTCATCCCAGCTACAGTGGGAAGCATGAAAAAGGAGTAAGTTCAGGCTGGCTTAGGCAAAAAGTGAGACCCTATTTCCAATATAACCAGAGCAAAAAGGGTTGGATAATACAGAGCCTGTGTAGCAAGCATACAAAGCCCTGAGTTCAAACTCCAATATTGCCCAAAAACCTATAATAGAAACAATAACAAAAACAACAACAACAAAAACCAGGGTGCAGGGAGATTATTGCTTAGGACAAAACTATATTTATTTTATTATTAGCAGTTTTAGTAAAATTCATAGTAGGAGTGTGGGCATGCCTCAGATTTAGGAAAGAAGGGCTCTTGTCAGTGACTGAGAGCTGAACTCTGGAGTCTGATGTGTCTGGAATGAATTCTAGAACCATCACTTCTAGCATGTGACTTTACAGATCCTTTTGATGGCATATGATATAAAAAAATCAATCACTGTCTTTTTGTATACCGATGCCCATAGCAGTGTTATTTGCAAAAGGAAAAAAGTAGAAAATACTCCAACATGTCAATGGATGAATGGATAAACAAAATGTGGTCTACCCATTCTATGGAATATTATTTAGTCTTAAAAAGGAGGGAAATCCTGACATATGCTACCTGGATAGACCTTGAGAACATTGTTATGTGAAATAAACCACTCACAAAAGACAAATATTGTCTGATTCCATTTATGTGGGGTATCTAGAGTGGGTAAATACATAGAGACAAAAAGCAAAATGGTTGCCAGTGGCTGCCGAGGAGGGAATGTGGAGTTAGTGTTTAATGGGTACTATGGTCTGAATGTTTGTGTTTCCTCAAATCCATGTATTGAAACCTAACCCCCAAGGTGAGAGTATTAAGAAGAGGGGCCTTTGAGAACTGATTGGTTCACGAAGGTTTTTATCTCACAAATGGGATTAATGCCCTTATAAAAAGGCTTGAGGGAGCCTGTTTATCCATTCTGCCATGTGAGATCACACAAAAAGCACATCTAAGATTGATAGGCTCTTAGCAGACACCAAATCTACCAGAGCCTTTTCAGCTTCCAGAACTGAGCAATAAAATTCTATTGTCTACAAATTTCCCCGTTTTTAAAACTAGAAAAAAATAAATGTGGGCTTTCTGGGGCCAAATGGGTGCCCAGGGGGAGAGATGGTAAGTGGCATAGTTGCTTCGTGTGCTGCTGCTGGGGAAGCACCCCCAGTGGAGGAGTAGCCATGGGCTTTAAAGACAGGTGATTTAACTTTGAATGTGCAGCTGTTTGTGGGACTCGAAATCAGTCCCCACTCACTCACTAATCTTGACTGAAGCCTGTTGCATGGAAAGGTTTATGGAAATACTGTATTTGGGAAAGCCTAGGGGGTAAAGTCCCTCTGAATGAACATGAAGTGGTGCAAGTATAGAATGAAGCCAGTCCATGGAACCAAGTCCACTGGGCTCATGAACTAAGTCTGCAGAACAGGAGATCAGAACCACATGTGGCCATGACCCTCTCCCCACCCCAGCTCTCCAGGGAATTTGCAGAAATCTCAAGGCAGACATTGGCATTCCTCCAGGGTCAAGGCCATCTTCTCCAGCTACTAGGGGTCACATTCATGTGAAGACCCTTTCCTCTTCCTTTTTGCCAGCCACTATTTTGCCAGCCCTTGTGCTTTTCAGAAATGCACCCACAGCTTTGAGTGAGGATTGCTGTTTGGGAGGCAGTAGAATGCAGCGGTTACAAGCAGGGTTCAACAGAGCCTGTCCCAGGCTACCTGCTAACACCTGACCTTCGTTTCCTAGAACCGAAGAACTCTAGGTGAGTCCTGGATGAGTGGTATGCCTGGGCTTTCTCTATAATTCAGTGTGGCCCTCCCCTCTTCTGGAATAAATAACCCAAGCACAGAGTGACTGCTGCTAGGATGAACTGTCTTCTGTAGGGGAAGGCAGGATTTTATTTAGCTGACTGTGGTGGGAAACCAGGGGCTGCTGTGGAGGTGGTGGGACAGGAGTCCCCAAGCTTAGGAGGTGCTCTTGAGTCAGACAGGCCTTGCTCCTCAGCTCTCTGCCTTTGGCTTGGCTGCTTTCTCCTCTGAGTCCTCACTGGAATGCAGTCGAAGGACTTGGGCCTTTCCAATGTACTCTGGGGGGGAGGGGAGAGACGGTGGGCAGGAGGAGGAGCTACCCCAGGTCCTGGCAGACTCCTTTTCTCAGTGAATGTGGGAGAGGAAAGCCTGAGTCAAGCCCAGCTTCACCATCAGCTCTGCTGGGGACCTGGGACAAACATCCCTTCTCCATGCCTCAGAACCCCTTCTCTTCATTCTCATCCAGTTAGCAAATATCAATTAAGTGCCTACTCCAAGCCAGACGCTCTGCCAGGCACTCAGGACCCTTTGTAATCTGATGGGGGAGAATGGTTTCCACTGTTGATATTTGACCTCCTCTTTCCCCCATATCCTGCCCCCCCCACTTTGGTATAAGGAACCAGGGTGACCGTAGGGGCTTTCTCCCTAGTCTTCCTCATCTCCCCCACCCCAATCTAATGCCCCACACAGCAGCCTCAGAGATACACTACACCCCACCCTGTAATCTTCCAGTGCCACCCATGTCCTCTTTGGGAGACTACCCACCTGGCTTTCCCCACAGGCCAGTCCTGCCCACCTGTTTCTCACCTCTTATACTACTATCCCCCCCACCCCTAGGGCCCTGGTCACCCTGGCCTACTTGCTCTTCCACAAACATACCAGGGAGGTGGGAGCTGTGCTTGTGGACTCTTCCTGCACCTGCACAGGACTGGATCCTCCCTGTGGCTCAGCTCAGGGAAACTCCCTCCCCCTCTATCCCTACCATCCACCACATCCACCTGCTTTAATTTGATCCCCTTGAGGGTTTTTATATGTTCTCTGTAGCTTCCTAACTGAAATGTAAGCCCCTTGATGCAGGGATTTGCTTGTCTGAATTTTCCCCCAGGGAATCCACAGCACATGGTAGGTGCTGAATAAACATGTAGAATGAACTCAAAAGGAGCAGCTTCCTCAGGTGGGATCCCATTTCTAAGTTGCCTTTAGCCCTCCAAGTGAGCCCCAGATTGACTCCCAGCATGGGATCTTACCTGGTTTCTCACTTTTTGGAAGAGGTGGCATTTTCACCTTCTTCAGGGATTGACTGTAATCAAATACAAAGGAGAGGCTGGTGAGGCCAGGCCCACAGATGGCCAGCGGGTGGGAAGTAGGAGGGTGGTACAGGTGTAGTCAGCTGCCCTTTCCAAGGAGAGGCAAGTTGTCCCTGGCCACTGGGAACCATGACCCTCCTATACATGGAGCTGCAAGGGATGGCCACTGCCGCAGCCTTCCCCACAGTCCCTTGCTCGACCCCCAGTGTTCCCCTGGCAGAGGGAGAAAAAACCTTCCATCTGCATGGAGAAGACAGGACTCCTGCCTCCTGAGCAGGTTACTCACGAGCATGAGTAATGTTCTCCTGCTTTGTGTGGGGCTTTACACTGTCCAGGCTTTTCACACACCATGTCACTTCCTCTCTGATGTTGGTAGGGGGTTTAGAGAGACATGAAAGAGAGGCTCAAAGACAGGGGTGGCTTGTCCAAGGTCACAGGGATGCCTGCCTTATTCACTATGTCCCTCATCCTCTGGTCTCTCAAAGAGGAAAAGAGAGCCAAATCCAGGGCTAGAATAAGATGCCTGGGTGTCAGGCAAGTGTAGTGGGCTCTCAGTATTTCTGATTGCCTTGCTGCTATGCAGGTTCTATCCACCTGCTTTGAGAAGCCTTCTGTGATTTATAATTAATTAAGCCCTTTCTCCTCCAGCTGCCCTGAGACATTTATTGTGGGTATAAGGTACTTTTGCCTGCCTGGTGCTACATTCCTTCCTACCTGTGTCTTCCTATAGACCAAGAGCTATTGGAAGGCTAGATGGAACATATCCAGCCCTAACTTGTTACAACTGACACCCCTTGCCCTTAGCAAACTCAGGCAAGAGTCTAGTTTGGCAATGTGGGCTTTCAGGCAGCTCACCTAGACTTGGAGGACCCCAGGGATTGGACACTGGGCCTCTTGCTGTAGGACAGGCTTGGTTAACCTAACTTGGCCAGCACCATCCCCCTTTTCTGCATCCCTCTAGCCTCACCTGCATCTATCAGATAGATGCTAACTGGGAGTGGTTCTGGGAACAGAAGGGCAGGTGAGGGATATGGAGCCCACCTGTAAGATGTCTGCTGCTTCTCTTGATGTGGTTCTTGGACTTCTTGGAGCTGGTTCAAGAGTTTTTCTTCTGGAATGGAGGTCAGGGGTTGGGGAAGGAGCTGAGCCACTGCTGTCTGCAGGAGTCCTAGTGCAAGGTCTTTCTCTGAAAGTATAGCACAGGACAGAGTCCTCAGCCCCAGGGCCTTTCCTGACCCTGGATGCGACTTGAGCCCAAACAGGATCTCCAGATCTTCCCAACCCTGGCCAAGGGCAGTTTTTTCTAACCATCCCACATTCTGCCCACAGGTCCCCACAGAGGCCAGTTCTCCTGGCCCATGTGCACACAGAGCACCCAGCCCTTCAACACCTTCTTCCACCCTACAAGAACACCTTGTTCTTGGTCCCATCCTGCCCACCACACCCTCCACCCACCTCTGGGAAGTATACTGGGGCCCACCCTCCTCTCCCTCTCACCTGCCCATCCTCCTCCTTCCTCCCTCCCACCCTGGAAGTCTCTGGTTAGCGTCCTGATCTCAGCACCCCTTAGCCTCCCACTAAGATGCTAAGATACACCCTCCACCCATGGTCCCAATATGGATCTGTATGTATATTTGTGTGTTCTCTCTCTCTCTCTCTCTCTCTCTCTCTCTCTCTGTGTTACTAGGGAATGAACTTTGAACTCAGAGTCTTGCTCATGCTAGGCAAGAGTTCTACCACTTGAGCAACGCCACCAGTACTTTTGTTGTATTTTTTCAGATAGGGTCTTGATAACTTCACCTAGACTGGCCTCAAGTTTGTGATCCTCCTGCCTTCACCTCCTGAGTAGCTGGAATTACAGGTGTCCATCACCATGCTGGCTTATTAATGTGTCCTTGTGCATATACCTGTGTGTTCTTGCATTTATACCTGTGGGTCTACATGCACGTGTGTGTGTGTGAGTGCGTGTGTCTGTGACTTTCTCACAGTAGCAGGAGAGAGGCTATGTCTACTAGGTACAATCTTTGGCTTTCTGCCTCAGCATAAAGGAGAGTTCCCTCCAAGAAGCAAAGCCACAGAAATCCTGATGAGTGGGTCAGGAAGGAGCAGTGACATTGTCCAGCTGGAAAGCGTTTCTTTGAGAGTCCTAAAAAGGAGGAGAAGGAAGTCCCTGGGATAGGAGATGACTGACATTTAGTCCTGCAGAGCCAGAGAACAAGGACAGGATCGTGGCAGAGAGGGACTGTGCAGCTATGTCCTCACCCTTGGGGGGAGCGTAGAGCAGCCAGAACTGGATTGCACTCAGCGAGTCTGTTTGCAGAATCTGACAAAGTAACTCCAGGACCTGTGGTCAGGAGGAAAGCCTGGGTCAGTGTGACCTACAGCACACTCCAGCCAGGACTTCAGGCATCAAGGGGGCTCCTCCCCAGGAAGTGGGCTCCAGAACCACATGCTTGGTTAAACTGGTCCCAACCACGGTCCCTGCCTCCCCTCTGCATGGGACTTTGCACTTTATGGAGGACTTTTTCTCCTACAACAATCCTGAAAAAAAGTCTTTGCTTTATCCAAGGCTTTGAAAGTAAAAAAATACCTAGCAGAATTAAGCCTCGGATATCAGATATGTGAAACCCTCATCCCTGGAGTCTGCTTGGGCTCTTTGTACCCTAAAGTCCCTCACAGGGAAGGCAAAGTCAAAGCTAGCCATCCACCTCCTCAGAGACGCACCGAGTTTCCAATGCCCATGTCTTTTGGATGGGGATTTAGGGTCCCCCACAGGCCTTCCCACCCTGGAGTTCCTAGAATCTGAAGATGTTAGCAAAAGTGTGGGGGACTCTTGGTGGGCAGGCTGTGGGTCAGGGTGGCCTGGTTCTGGAAGCTGCCCAGCACAGGGCTCTGTCCTGCTGAGTGGTAGTTACTCTTGGCTCCTAGCTGCCTCCTCAGCCTTTGGCATCTTTGCTACTTCAGGGCTCCATTTCCCCTGCATCCTCCAATCAGATAGCGTCAGGAAATGATCCAGTGTCTTGGACAGACTCTGAGGGCTTCCTAGGCCATGTTGCTGATGGTGGCTGTGTCTATGGCAGGCTGGAATTGGAGCCCATGGTGGGAGATGGAGACCCCGGAGTCCTGGGAAAGTGGGACTCTCTCAGCAATTGGCAGTCAATCTTCCTGTGACCTGGAGGGGACTGTCAGACCCCAGCAGGTCTATCTTGTCCTTGGTAGAGTGGGAACTGGCTGAACCTTTCCACAGGCCTGTGTATGCTTGGGTGCCCACCCTTACCCCCAGCACCCACCTACTATGGTGACCCACCCTGGTCTGCCTCTGGGCCCTTGTCCATTCTCAACATCCTACTTACCTGCCCTGGGCCCCCTCCCCACAGGACCCGAGCACCTAATTCCAGGCACAGTGATGCCACCCTACAGTGGAGAAAGTACTGGTTCTAGTCTCAGCAATCGTGTTCCTTTTCTGGGGACCTGAGCCACAAAATACCACCTGGCAGAACCTCAGCCTCCTCATATGTTCTCCACTTTGTGGGATCCAAGTGAGATGCCAGCTCTATGTCTGAACTTCTCTGGAGGATACACATGACTTTTCACAGGGACTTCCATGCCCTGGCCCACCCAAATGAGGCATGGACTCATCTTGGGCCTTGATGGGGAAACTTGAGCATAGAGGTAGTGGGCTCTGTGCTGTGGTGAAGCACAGGCAGAACCCCTGTCAGAGGTGTGAAAACAGCTGGGACTTGCCTGGCAGGCAGAGGGCCTTTGAGAGCACCCTGGATAGGACCTCCATCTTTCTCCCTCATTAATATTAGATGCCACCACTTGGATGGACCTTCCATGATAACGGGCTCATGCTCCCAGGTAGATCATGGAACTAAGGCCCACTGAAGAAGGACTTACACAGAAAAGGACAGGTGGGGCACAGTCTCCCCTAGGGGCAGAAGGGATTGGAGCATAGGGGGCTGACTCCCAGGGCAGGGTCTTCCTGTCTTACAGTCACAGGTGCCAGTATTCCAGGAAGGCCATATCTCACAGTGGTCTGGAAGGGTGCCAAATGGGAGAACTGGAAGCCTGGGGGAAGAGACCATCACAGTCTCTGCCCCCAAAGCTGAGCTCACCAGCATCTCCTGGTCCTTCAGGAAAGAGGCCTGGATGCCATCACTGCCAGAAGTATGGCTCCGCTGGCCTTGGCGAAAGCTGCGGCGAGTCAGAGCTTGAGTGGACGCGGGAATGAGCCGGCCAGTCTCAGCTGAGTACTTTGCTCCCTGTTCCCTCGGAAGAGGCTCCTGCTTCTGCTGGGACAAAAGTGGCCAGACACTCTAGAAGCCAGTGAGAGGGGAGGGAGAAGGCAGAAGGAAGATGATGAAGAAGAGGTCAGGTCATGTCTCCAGGGAGCTACCTCTTCCAAACCTCAGTATCACAACCTTGCCAAGGGGACCCAGCAATTCATCTAGCTACCTCCACCCTGTTCTAGACTCCTTACGTGTCCCTTGCATGTTCCCCCCAGCTCAGCATCCCAGAGTTAAATGTGCATGGATGCTCCTGGTTGTCCTTGTTCTTCTCCCCCAGCCTATGGGAGATTTGAGAACAGCATCCCGTACAATGGCCCCACTGCCTACCTTAAGTCCTAGCTCAGCTACCACCAGGTCTGACTCCTCAGCTTGCCATCCTTTCTTTGCCCTGGAAAACCAGGCCTCTGGGCACAAGAATTGTCTTGCAATTCCAGTTAAGACTTCTTAACAGTATCCTCCTCCTTTACCCCCCGCCCCGCCTTTTGGCAGTACTGGTGTTTGAACTCAAGGCCTTGCACTTGTTAGGCAGGCACTCTACCACTTGAGTCACACCCCCAGCCTTTTGCTTTAGTTATTTTTCAGAGTTTTTGCCTGGGGCCAGCCACGGACTGTGATTCTCCTACCTACAGCCTCCTGCAAAGCTGGGATCCCAGGTGCACATAATCACTTCTTCTCCCCATTTTAAAGATAAAAAACTGATACACAGATAGCTTAATTGAGTGCTACAAAGTGCAAGCTGGGATGAGGAACCAGGCTCCTGCCTGTCCATTCTGGTTGCCCAAAAAAAGGGGCAGGACCAGACTGTACTGTGAAGGGCCAGCCCAGGCATTCAAGCGTCATGCTGCCTGTCTGTTGCCTTTACCATTTTGTCACCAAGTAACACCTAAGAAGTCACACCTATCCTATTTGAAAACCTTCAGCAATTGATTCTCCATTTCTTTTGAGGTTGGACGTTAATCCACATTGAGAAATTAAGAACTCCTGTCCATGTTCAAAGATAGCCTCCTGTTACCTTTTTCCCATCACTGCCCATTTGCTCCCTCTGCTCTGGGCCCTGGTCTCTAAAGATGTGCTGTGAGTGACAGCTTCTGAACTGTTATGACAGGAGCCACTGCTCAGAAGTTCTCCCTGAAAGCATCCACTCATATATCCATGCCCCCAAAGGCCAGTTCTTCTGAGAACCCTTCTTGGATTGCTTCTTGAGGTGTGCTCTTGTTGTCCTTGAACCTTCCTTCCTTTGACCTTCACTGTTACCTTCCTCCCTTATGTTTGTCATTGGCCCCTCTGCCCAGTGCCAAAGGCAGAGCTTTGAAGGCACTTCCTTACAAAGGGGCAGATCCTCTTTTCCCAGACAAAAGACAAAAGAGGCTTTGTTCTGCACCCACCTCTTTGATTTTCAGCTCATTCTCCTTGGTAAAAACAGCCACCCGGGAGGTCAGCTCCTTCAACTGTCTCTTCCAGGTCTCTGGGAGGACAGGACAAGATCCTGGGGCCCTGTTCACCCTCTCTGTGGCACCAGGGCTGGAAGGGCAGGGAATGATCTAGGTAAAAGAGGCCCCTCTCCTTTCAGGCCTCCTTGCCCCAGGACAGTGCCCTGGAGGGAGAAGGATTAGGATTGTACCATGGGTGGGGATGAATGTGGTCACTTCACTTCTCTAGGGGGCTGATACTGGTGTCCTGCCTGTGGCATTTCGGGGAGATGCTGGAGAACACCAGGCTACTTATGTCTAGATGCATGAGGTTTGATCAAAGTTAGATCAAACCTCTCTTTATGTACTTGGAGCTCAGATTGAGGTCTGAGAGATATTCTGAGTCCATTCTGAAGACATTGAGCAACTCCTGAAACAGGTTGGTATAGAAATCCACAGCCCATCCACAAACCTCTCTGCCCTACCATTAACTACTGAGATCCTTGCCAGGATTTCACTCCTACCCCTATCCCCACCCCCAACACCTTGACTCTCCGACACCCTAGTAGCAGAGAGGTAGAACACAGAGGCTTCCAGAATCCACTCTAGCACACCATGGATGGTGGTTCTGTTTGGCTAGTGCCTGAGCATATAGGTCACTAAATATTGAAATACTCTTCCTATCTATAGCTGTAAGTCAAAATCAGCTTAACCCAGGCACCTCAAATACAAGTAAGGGTACATTTCTGAGGGCTAAGAGCTGGGGATGAGGTGGGCAGTAATATAGAGATGAGGCTACCCCAGGAAACGAGGGAAAATATGGGGCCCTCCTGATGGACCCACAACCCAACAGCGATGGCCCTTTCCTTCTCAAGCACCTGCCCAAGGAATGCAGCCCTTGGAGAGAGGTATAAGCTCCTAAGTATAAAGGTGTGGTCCAAGTACCCACCAGAAGAAAGCTGGGGGTTCCGGTTGGAGTGTGGGTCCCCAATGGGGACAGTGATGGCTGGTATCCCCATCGGACAGTGGGAAAAAAGTATGGACTGAGGCAAGGGCATCATAGAGCACTCATCCCTGATGACACAGACGGGCTTCCCAGTGAAATCTGTGGAAGGGTAGAGGCTATATTGTCGGGGGGTCTTGGCAGACCCCAGAAGCAGCACTGGGAGGTGAGAAAAAGCTGGGAGGGAGTGGGCAGAAAGAGCTCTGGTTCCTCTTCTTCCAGTAACCAGCATTCCATGGATCCTGAAACCACCTAGACCAGCAGCCACCTTACCCACAGGGCACTGAGAATGGATGGGGAAGAGACCTGCTCAGGCTTACCAGCAAGTTTGGCAGAAGCAAAACAAGAACCTAGGCTTCGTAGTCCCGTGGTTCTTCTGGATTCTCATGACAGGCCAATGAATTGCAGGTGTGAGCGCACAGTATCAGACAGCTTAAGATGGTGGAGCAGTAAGTCATAGTTTGGCACAGGAGGGGCCTGGGCTCAAGTCACAGTAAAAGAGATTGAACTTGACCTCTGGAGAGAATTTCTACTATGTGTCACCCTGGAGATGGTGGGGGGCAGTTCACACATGAAGACCCTTCCCAGAGTGGGTGATTATGATGTTATGGAGGACTGGTTAGGACTTAGTATGGCTGTGGTCTCCTTCCTGAATCCATCCTTTTGGTACCACAGCCCCCACTTTTTTGGCTCCTCCTGGCTCACTGGCCTTTCCTCATCTCCTCTGCTGATGCCTTCCAAACTCCTCAACTTATTAATCTTGGGAGCCCAAGTTCTTTTCTGGGGTCATCACAATCTTTCCTGGTGTACACTTTAAAGCACCCCTTGAATGGCTGTCATGTTTTACCTCTTTCTGTCATCTAGCTTGTATTTCACACCTCTCATGCCTGGCTAGTTCCTACCCTTCTTGGCCCTTGGTGCCTTCTTGGTCTCAGTCAGGGCACCCTGTTTCTCCAATTGCTTGGGGCAAAAATTGGAGTGAACTTTGATGGGGAGTGCCCCTCAACTCCACTTTCAATCAGAAGGCTCTACCTTCTGTGTCTCTAGACTATGGCCTTGGACTCGTCCACTGCTTGATGGTCGGAGCCACCATCAAGACAGAGGCCAGGGTAACTTTCCTAAAATATCACATCTGCCACTTCTGTGCTCTCAAACTTCCATTGAGTCAGTAAGGCGGCTTAATGGTGACACCACTGGCCTGTGAGGTCATCTTCTCTGATGTCATCTCCTCCTCCTCACTCTTCCCCAGCCACACATGGGCTTCCTTGCTGCACCTTCAGCACAGCCAGGGCCTTTCTATTTGCTGATCCCTCTACCTAGGACATTCTTGACCCTGATATCTACGAGGTTCCCACACTCGCTTCCTTTAGTTTTTTGCTCAGATGTCATGGTATTAGCCAGGTCTTTCTTGGCCACCTTTTAAAAATATCAATCTCCCCTCTACAGTTTGACAGTGACACCTAATATATTTCCATCATTCCCCACTGTATGTGAACTCCAGGACAGCAGCAACCATCTGTTTTGTTCTCTGTCATGTCCTCAGGACCTAGAAAAGCAGCAGCTTTTAGTTCACACTTGGTATAAGTATTGGTGATGGATAGATGGATGGATGGATGGCTGAGAGGATGGAATAGCCTGAAGTTAGAGGGGCAGGGCACAGCTCTAGACAGAACATCCATTCCTTTCTCTGATTTATAGAAAAGAAGAATCTGGCAGTAAAGGAAATCCTGTAGGGGACCCCTGATTTTCCCTTGGAGTCTGTCCCCAAGGGACCTGTCCCCAGGTCAACCCTGGCATGGCAACTTGGCAGCCCTAGGACCCTGACCAGGCCCCATGCTCTCTGAGCCCTGCCTAGAAACAGGCTGGGGTGCATCCCCCCTAGATCTCAAGGCCAAGTAGTAACACACACCCCCACCATCCAGACCCTGCTGACCTGGCCTTACCTGGCATGTGGGTCACATGCTGGGGGTGGGGGTGGTGCCGGGAGAAGAAGGAATGGTGGCTGAGGCGGCCAAAGTGGTAGTAGGCTCCAGGCATTCGGGGCTTGGGAGTCATCAGTGCCTCTCGAATCAGCTCAAAATCCACAATGCCTGGGGTCACCAGTTCTTTCTGTGCTCCACCATCCCCATGGATTCGTGGCTTGTGCTCTGGCTTCTTCTCAGGCTTCAGCTCAGCCTTTGGACTGAAAGAGAAGGTTTAAAGAAAAGCGAATGGAGCCTCTTCTGGCTCATAGGCACTGACAATGGTGCCCACACAGTCTCAGAGTTCAGGGCTTCTCATAGAGCCCATGCCCAGACACTCTGAAATCTTGCTTCCTGGGTTTCACCCCCAGCCTGTGGCACCCAAAGCTTGGCTCCCCCAGCGTCCTTTCCCAATGGTACAATCCACTCCCAGTGAGCCTCTGTCTTCCTGAGGTGCGTGGCAGGGAGTTAGGATCCATGTGTGAGAGCTCAGATGAAATCTCCCAGGGACCAAATCTAAAACCAGAAAGAGAAGCCTCAGACCCACCTAGTCCTCCACATGCCTGGGATGGAGTAAAGGCCCCTTATATATACCCACTAAGGACAGGGGACTGTCCCCATCAGGGGCCTCTCCCTAAGCCAAACTATTGGCAGTCCTGAGAAGCCAGTTGAAGGCTGTCACCCTCCCCTGTGCCCTCAGGGGCAGTCCTGACCCAGGCTTGGGACCCAAGGTCCAGAGTTGGAGCCAAGGCCAGACAAGGCCAGGCAAGTCTTTTTCCCATAGGATCCTTCCCAGGAGCTGCACAGTTGATGGGAAGCTGTCAGGGCTGTGAAGCTGCAGGGAAGCATCAAGCTCTCTCTTGCTGAGCTTCGCTGGAGACCAGCTGTCTCAGGTTCCCTGCACCCACCCCATCCTGAGGATGCTGGGCCTCTCTGCCCCTGGAGGAAGAAATAGAGGTCAGTCCAGCAAGGATCCAAAGGTAGACCACTGGGGCCCTGGTGTGACCACCTGCCTGATGACTGTCTGCATTCCCTTCTCCTGGTGGCCCTGGCTGAAGGGGGTCCCTCTGGAGGAGTATAGGTGGACTCTGGATATGCTAAGCAAGATGTGCTGCCCCTGGACCCTGTGAGGACTTCGCTGACCAGGCCCCTGAGTTTCCTGTTCCATTCTCCATTCGCCTCTAGTCAATCTGGGACTTAAAGAAATAAGGCAAACCTTCTCTGAAAACCACACTTAGCTACCTCCTCTACCCACAACTAACAGGAAGTCACCTGAACTCCGCCCAAGAGCCTGTGCCCCATGTGCTCCTCCTACCCTTTGTTCATGTCTTCTCCTTACCCAGTGAGGGGCCCAGCCCATAACCTGTGCTAACAGCTTGAGGACTCAGGGACCCAGGATGATGGTGGCTGTCTCTCTCAGTTTACTGAGTTCCCCCAAAGCCACCTTTGTCCCCCCTCTGTCCCTACCCTTTGTCAGCAAGTGGGCATTTAGGACCTTACCGTGGAAGTGAGTGTTCAGCCGGTTGAGTCTTCACATCTGTAGCCATTGCAGAGTTTCTAACAGGATAAAAAGACCAATGCACCCAATGCTAGTTCAAGATGGATCACAGAAACTCTCGTGGGCTGGTGTGGTAAAATAAATGGAACAGACACTTTGGAGAGAGAGAGAAAACAGCTGATAAAATTGAATACTTGCATGTTGTATCATCTAGTAACTTCTCTACCAGCTATAAAAGAAATTCTTGCAGATGTGCAACATGGGCTATTTATAAGAATATTCCTATTCACATTGTTCAAAGTAGCAAAAACCTGGTGACACCCCCAACCAAATGTCCAGAAGGGATAAATAAAGTGTTCCACTCAGACAGTGGGTCATTTTACTGCTTTGAAGAGAAATGAGCCATAGCTACGGCCAAAATGATTCTTACAAATATGATGCTAAGTCAAGGGCAGCATGTTTCAGATAACATGAAATGCTTTTTAAAAATAAAAGTCCAAAAGCAAGTGAAATTATCACAAACATGGGATGAAACAAAAACAAAAAAAAGCAGAGAAATGCAAAATTCTGGTAGTGGCTGTTTTGGAGTGAGGGAAGCAGAAAGGCACATCGGAGATACATTAGTGGTGACATTCTTGGTCTTGGTATGGGCAATGCACTTAGCTGGGTTCATTATGCTCTTAAATTAACTAATTAAATGAAATGGATAAAAGATGGCAGGTGTCAAAACCACGAAGTATTGTTCACCTAAATCTATTAGCCTGATATTTATCCAGAAGTGCTAAGGAATGGGGTTGAGACAGAAAACTAGTACATTCTGAGAACTGGCCCTCAGAGTCACAGAATCTGCAAGGGACTCTAGAGATCTCTCAGTGCCACCCTTCGTCAAGTTAGGGTACGGTGGGTTGGCCTTGTCTGAGATCAGGGAAGGGGAAAGACTTGCTGAGGCTACACAGCAAGAGACCAGAGACAGGCATCTGACTCACAGGCTCTTTATCTTTTGTCTGAAAACAATGAGCAGAGCTTCCTTTTCAGGAAACTTGGGGCAGACATCCTCAATGACAGGGGCTGAGCTCTGGAGCACTCAGATGCTGCATGCTTGATGACAGGGTGTTTGGAAGCTCTGAGTCCACTGCCTACAGGAAAAGGTAGTTTTTAGAACAAACTCTCAAATACTTTTGACCATGATGATAGTAAGAAACTCATTTTTCCATCAGGACACAATTCACATATGTGAGAACTTGTGTGTGTGTGCAACTGAAACAGGAATGTCCTGAAGTAGTACTTGCCCACATGACACGGGATGTACATGAATACTTTCACGCTCTTTTTAGTTTTCATTTTGTAACGTTAGACATGACTCATTAAACTGCTTCACTAGGCCACGGGTGAGTCATGACCCTCAATAGAGGGGTAACAGGGACCTAATAAACTGGGTCTGCCTTCTTTTCTTTAGTTCTTTTTTTTTTTGGTGGTATTAGAGCTTGACCTTGGGGCCTTGTGCTTGCTAGACAGGTGCTCTATCACTTGAGCAACGCCCGAGCCCTTTTTATTTTAGCTATTTATTTTTTGAACAGGGTCTTGGCATTTTTGCCCAGGCAGGCCTGGACTACAATCCTATTTACACCTCCCACATTGTTGGGATAACAGGCATGCACAGCCATGCCCAATTTATTTTTGAGATGGGGGTCTTCTTAACTTTTTTGCCTGGGCTGTCCTCAAAGTGTGACCCTCCCTATCTCTATCTCCCCAGTAGCTGGGATTACAGGTGTGAGTTACTGCATGTGGCCTTGTCCAGAGCAGGGCAGGTGGGGCCACTGCAGACTGTCCCTACTCTGCCCTGTCTCTGTTCCTGTGCTCCCAGACAGGAACAGACAACTAGGCACAAGGGTCTGAAAGCAGCCATCAATTCAGTCATAAGACTTCCTCTCTACCCTTGCCCCTCAGGGCCTTCCCCTGGTCCCAATCTGATTCCAGCATTCTTTGCCTCCAGGGAGAGACCTCTGGACTCACCGAGGGAAGATGCCGTCTATAGCATGTGGGGAGAAGCCCTTGCTGCCTGAGCAGGACGGCACAAGAGGAGGAACCAAGCGAACGACTCAGAGCAACAGTGGGCAAGCCAATGGCTTTGTGACTGCAGTGAGCTCAGTGGTTGCTAGGTTACCCCTTCCCCACAACTCCAGAACTGTTCCCAGCACCCCTCTCTCTCACCCCACCCAGTTCCTCTTTCTTCTTCCAGAAGGGCAGACAGCTCACTGAGGGCTTTTTCTTGTCCCTCCAAGCTCGTCATCCTTGTCCCATGCAGTGCTTCCAATGGGGACCAAGGGAGAGAAGGTTGAATATCTGGCTCAGCCAGCCTGTGGCCAGAAAGAAAATCTGGCCATAGATGCTGGTTGGGCCACCTTTGTCAGCTCAACGCAGCCCGATACTGCCATGGAGGAGTCTGTCACCAGGCAATTGGTATTTCTGCAGATCAATACATAGGGGATTGTTTTTTAGACAGAGGAGACCAATCACAAGATCCAGCTTCATTTGGTGGAGTGGCTGGCTGGGAAGATTCTGGGTTTTCACTTGGGCAGTATTTCTGATCAGATTGACACCTCCTATGGTGTCACCTTGGGTAAGTTTCTTATACTGCCAGAGGTGTGGAGTAGTGATGAGAATCCTCTGTCCAAATTCCTTGTTCTGCTACTTCTTAGCTGTGTGGACTTAGACATTTTACCCAATGTCTCTGGACCTCAGTTCTGGTCTCTGAAAGGGAAATGATACTCCCGCTTATTCTCTCTTAGAAATTGAAGTGAGTTAATAGTTCTAGATTTATCCTAAGAACAAGCGAACTACTAATGTAAGTGAAGTGCCTAGTCATATGCCTGGCTTAAGAAGAGACACTCCAAACGACAGTAATAAGGCCAGGTACAGTGGCTCCAGCCTTAATCCCAGTTACTTGGGAGGAGGACCTTTTGTTTTGTTTTGTGGTACTAGGGTTTGAACTCAGGGCCTCACGCTTGCTAGGCAGGCAGTCTACTGTTGACAGCAAAATGATGTTCTCAGAAGACCTTGGTTCTTGCATTCCAGCATGGAAGAATCCAAGCAGAACGCATGGGTATACATGGGATTTATTAAAAGTTAGGAAAGTGGGTGCAGGTGGAGTCCACCAGCCAGGTAGAGTATGTTTCTGTTCTTCAGGTACTTTTAAAACCTATACTAACCCCTGGGAGGGCAGAGATTCCCACCCATTGATGAATGAGTGGGGAAGGACATGGATGGTTCCCAACCAGGTAAGGATGGTCTGGGCCATCCCCAGGCAACCTACGTGAGCCCCAAACTTTTCCTACTACTAGCCTGCCTCACTACCACTTGAACCACTCTACCAGCCGTTTTTGGGTTGGGTATATTTTCGGGTTAGGGTTTCAAGAACATGGCTTCAAATCATGATCCTCCCGATCTCTTCCTCCTGAGTAGTTAGGATTATAGGTGTGAGGCACTGGTTCCCAGCTAGGATCTTCGTTTTGAGCCCACCCAGGCAAAAAGTTATAGCCAGACCCTGTCAAAGAACAAGCTGCATATGGCAGCACAGTTCTGTAATCCTAGCTACACAATAGGCAGAGGTAGGAGGATCATGTTGAGGCCAGCCCAGGCAAAAGCATGAGACCCTATCTGAAAAATAACTAAAAGCAAAAAGGCTGAGGGTATTGCTCAAGTGGCAGTGCACCTGTGTAGCAAGTGTGAGGCCCTGAATTTAAACACTAGTCCACCAAAAAAAAAAAAAAAGGTGATGATGATTACTACTTGTAACTTGATGGAGATACGATTTTATAGTGGGGTGAGTCCTTGGTCCAGAAATACGATGGGTAATCACTTTATTTCTCTGAAGCTCAACTTAATATGGACCCCTGGAAAGGGGAAAGGCTGACCCTTGGCTCCTGGGGCTGTGATACAATCAAAGGCTGCAAGGGGTGAGATCTTGCAAATGTTGGAGGCTGCCCTGGGAATGAGTTTGTTGCCCCTCAGAACTGGTGAGGTGGGACTTCGAGGGTCTTAGTGGTCAGCATCCTGCCTTCCTATCAGTGACCTGAGGCTTCTAGACTCCATGACTAACTCCTGGGAAACAAGAAAAGAACAGTGGGGAGCTAGTCGTAAACCCGTCTTTCTGAAGTTCCACCCCTCCCAGCTGAGGGGGATTAAAACCACTGTAGAAATCACAGAGGGTGGCTTCTGTACTTGACCTTGCTCCAAATGTTTCTCCATTTAGTGGGGTCAGAATGTTCCCTGTCTGAGCTTGCACTTTTCCTGGGCCTGCCTCTGCAGGATTGAGGTGAAATCATTCTGAAACCCCCTTTTGCATGCTGCAGGGCAGCCTGGCAACCATGGCAATAAATCATATTGTGTGTGAAAGAAGAGAAGGCTTTCTTCCCCATGACCAAGCCTTCCCTGCAGCTTACAGCACTCTGGGGGAATTTCCCACCAGGCAAGCTGACACAGCTGAGAGGAAAACCCACTACTACCCTCCCCACGGGGGTCTTTTAATGCTCCCATTGTATTTAGAGCTGCACAAGGAGTCTCATGCTGATTGCAGCTGCTTTGTAAAGGAGCTAAGGAAACCCCAGACTTCCTTCTCTGCTGAGTATCAGAAACAGGAGAGGAGTTGTCTGCTTGGGAGTAGTTGGAGTTCAAACCCCAGTACCACCAAAAAAAAAAAAAAAAGAGAGAGAGAGAGAGAGACCTTTGTCTACCCAAGGTTATGGTGACATTTTCCATAACATTTTGTATAAGATTTGTTGTTTTACCTTTCAAATTTAGATCTATGATACTGCAAATAGATTTTTGTGTATGGTATAATGTAGGGGTCAAGATTCATACTTTTTGCCATACAAATATCCATTTGACCAGCACCATTATTTAAAACACTCTCCTTGTCTTGTTTCTCTGTAGTATCATCTTTGTCAAAATTCAAAGTATCCATATCAAAATTCAAGGGTCTGTCTCTGGAGTTTGTCTATCATTGCACCAGTATTATACCTTCTTAATCGCTGTAGCTTTAAGTAACTT